GATCGTCTGCGTGCACAAGGAGTTACTTATCCAGTGTTACTGCGTAGTTCTTGCCGTCTCTCTTGGTTTTCCACGTGTCCTTGGTTCGTTTGGGACGTATATCCCCCATGCTGGAAAGCGTCAACGCCGTGTTCGCGCTAACAGTGTCCGACAGTGCATATAAATACACGTACGAAGCGGTTTTAACACCGTTTTTTATGCTACGAATTTAAAATAAAAATGCTGTAACTGACCAATTATTTCGTCTGCGTGACTGAGAAATGTTCCAATGTGCCTAGTACGTACAGATTATTCGTGATATTTGTTCTTATAATCGAGCGCAGAGAGAAAATGCACGCGCTTTTTCCCATAGAAATGCATTACCGGAAGTCAATTTCTGACTGCTTGCTGTCTGCTTCAATATGCAACAGCACACTAGCGCCACCTGAGCCTGTAGCGTTTATTGTAATAACTCTATGCGTCAGAACGCCGAGTTCCCAATGGAATGGGAACTCGGCGTTCTGCTGAGTTCCCAAATGCCTAAATGAATCCCCTAGCGGTGGTAGCAAGAAACTGTTTTAATCGAAGGTATATGTTGGTATATGGTTTTAATATGCACGTAAGAGTGAAGTGTAGTAACCCTTCATGGTTGAAAATAGGATACACGTGATCTGTCGATCATGATCATGCAGAAAGATGTAAGAAACGAATAGGCCTCTGGAACTCTGTTTTGCTTGGACAGAGTGTAACCGCTCGGACGGCAGATTCCCGGCCCTCGGCGCTTGGCGTACGGATTATGTCGATAGTTCCGCTCGTCGCACTCTTCCACCGTGATTTTGGATGACCGTGATTGAAACATCACGTACACTATATTTTCAGTCTCCGAGAGTTACTCCGATGCACTTTCCAGGTTGGTTTCTCGCGAGCACCACTAGGGTATTATTTCTGGCTTCTGCTTGGCCACATTCGAATTGCTGAAGACGCCCTGGAACACGCCCAGCCCGCTTTCGGCCAATGGCGGCTCCTCATTTGTCTCCTATACTTCCCAAAGAATGGCCAAACTCTCCTCATAAACAGTTCTTGACGCAGGGACCCCGATTCACGCCAGCATTAAATGAACGCGTCTCGCGGGCACTAGTGAAGGCGCCTATTTTGGGGTCTCGTCTCGGGAATACTACAGCGCCCCCTGGCCGAGAGAAACAGGCCCATAGTCGCCGAAAGTTTAGAAAACGCAGGGCGTGGCTTGATCTTGTCACACTTCTTATTCCGTGAACATGAATTCTGCTTGCCGTGGTGGCAGAAGAGAAGCCAGGGCTCGGGCTTTAACCAGACAGCTAGGGAACGGGGACGATGTAGTCTACACGGACGCCTCCAAATACCAGGGAACCACCAGGGCTGTGGCGGTAGTGAAAACCAAAAAGAAGATCCTGACGAGTGTGTCTGTGGAAGTAAAAGATATGGAAGAGGTAGAAGAAGTGGCGATCGCCCTGGCCCTCGCTCTGCCAGGTAGAACCAGGGTAATCACCGACTGACAGAAAACATACCGGAGCTCCCAGTCGGGCTGGGTGTACCAAAAAATGCTGCGGGTGCTCAAAAACAAGAGACCCCCAAAGGATCCCGTAGACTTGGTATGGGTACGTGCCCACTCCGCGGCGGAGGGCAACGAAGTTGCTCACCAGCAGGCCCACGCGCTGACTTACCGGGGCACAGCCGTGGAAGAGGTGAAGAGGTGCAAGGTCAGCCCATGATAACCTACTAGGAAATAGTCACATTCTACCGCAAGGAAAGGCAAAAACTGCCGGCCCCGCATCCTAAGTTAACGCGGGAGGAATAGGCAGCGTATAGGCAAATTCAGTCGGGTTCCTTCCCCCCAACCCCGTTTGCTCAGTCGCATGTTCCCCACTCAACACGGCGGGGACTGCCCAGTGTGCCAAGAGATAGGAACCCTCCGTCAAATGGCAGGCGAGTGTAGATTCGATCAAGGACACCCACCACCCTTATCCCCCAACACCCCCACCCTTCCCCCTGTAGAACGATGGGAAAACTTGCTGCCCAGCCCCGCCCTGGAACATCAGCTTCGTTTGGCAACCAGGGGCCAGGCCGCTAAGGCAGCATATGGGATCTCGTAAAGAGAGAACCACTTCGATTCGGCACGGACCACCGCGCTGAAATGCTCAGAATAAAAGTTTATTCTCTCTCTCTCTCTCTTGTTCCGTGATTCCTTCTTCGGAGGTTTTATAGGCTAAGGCTGCATTCCCATTGGCTGCGGGTCGGTGATCAGATGACCTGAATTGGCCACTTTTCGCGTTTCTTTGGCTGTCAGTGACCGTACATACCAGTGGCGAGTTCAGTAAAGGCATATCTGTAAAGAGTTGCCTTTAGGAGGATAGAAGGAAGATCGTCGTTGTATTTGCGTTGATAGAACTGAAATGCAAACTTGTAAAAAGTTTTTTTTCTTTTACTGCAAAGAAAGCGAAAGTGTTTTATACGGGTTATAAACATTATTGGTCTTAATGTACTTACAAATGACATACTTCATTCAAAAGAGACTTGACTTCATGTAACTTGATGAGTTAGGTTTTCTTATAAATTAGGTTTTGTTTTAAACTGACACCTTCCTTAAAGCCCGACGTACAACCTCGGTTTTCTGCAGGGAAGGTGATCCTCCTAGCGCTTCTCTCTCCTAAGCTGCAAGGAGAGCAAAGTTGAGGTAAGGTGAAAAGTGGAGAGGATAAAGGGAAGGAGGACACGGGCAAAAGTGGAAAGCGGGAAATGCACGTCAAACTTGAAACATAATGTAGGCAGTTCCTTCCAACCTGGGATTTTTGTCCAGCACACCGGCGTTTTGTGAATCGTAAAAAGGTTGGGGAGCGAAGCAACGTTGTCTTTCGATTGAAATAAGACTGAAAACGCAGGCGAGCTGGTAAACATGCATAATCAAAATTAAAAACTTAGAGGCAAGGAAACAAATAGGACATACAAGCCACCGCTTCAGGGAGGGTTGTGTGTACGCCCTGTTTATTTCTTTGCTTAAAGATTTTTTATACGTTTTTTTATTCCAGATCTTTATCGCGGATTATTATTGAAACGTACCACAGATAGAAATACTAAAGAAGGTGCAGGTGAGCTTGCGAACTTTAATCTGATAATAATCCCGATACCGAAGAACAAAAAGCGGGACAACACATACACACACACGGGTCTCCGCAGGTTTATGGTGCGAATGAAGCTATACGTGCCACCGCTACAAAAAGTTTGCAGTCGGGATTCGCCTCACTCTGACACCTGTAGATGAAAATAAAATACGTAATAACTTTTTGTCTACACCAACTTAACTCTTTTACGTCTCGCCTTGGTGGTGGCGCTTCGAGCACACTTCCAGTCTGGTGTGTGGGCGGACGTTGTATGCGGGTCGGGCATTGCTGTGTTTTTTTGTTGTTGTTTTTTTTTTTTTTTTTTTTTTAAGAAACCAGCATTGTCCGACCTGTATGTTTCTTTGGAAGAAATCACGACTGGTGCCGCCCCAAAGAAGCAGGGAAGATCATATTTCACGTGTTTAATGCTTGCCCGGTTCGTCTGAGTGCGTGGATAGGTGCTGTGAAAGGAAAAACCCCACGCTGTCAGACCACATGATTGCTTGTGCGAAAAGCGCTTTGCGTTGAAGTCTCCGAGACTTGTTGGCGCCAGATTTATTTGTTTTATTCCAACATGAACTTGAGAAAATCGTCAAGTTGTCCGGACCACCCGGGGACCTCGGTCAGTGCGCTTTCGTGTTCAAACGGCCGTGTGATTGTTCAAACCGTCTGCTCTTTTTTTTAAAGTCGTCTGCTTTTTTCAAGCTATGATCTGCACTCTCAAACGACAACGGCTCGTAGACCACACAATGACGCGGTAATTGTGATAAGAGTAAGTGCAGGCTCCAAAAGAATTATAAAGTTGAAAATTGTCTGGGGCAAGTATAGCTCTGTGTATACAGTGGATACAAAAGGTATGTTGGTAATTTTTACCGGTGGTCATTTCCCTGATGTTATGCCTTATTCACTTAGTCCTATTCTCCTTGCGATTTTATCAACGTCGAGCATCGCCACTAGCTTCCACGCTTCTTTACTTTTTTTTTTTGGTACGAAAGACATCGCGACTAGAAATAGCGGGAAGAATTTAATCATGTGAATCAGGCTTTAGCGTCCATTCTGCGACGTCCACGCGGAATGAATCGCCGCATGACACATCATCTACGTGAACTGTAGCGGTGTAACGAACCTCGTTAATTTAGGAGACACCACTAAAGCAATCATACTTTGCTAGGAACGCTTAAAATCAACAATTTCAAAGAAAAAAAAAAAAGGTCACGGGAATTCACATTGATGCCGACAACACCGCATCCCAATGGTTTGTTAATTTCTGAGAGCGCCCTTCTTGCGCATAACTCATCACGCCTGCGCGGCGCCGGCGGCGTGCCACCAGGGGCGCTAAGGTTTGCTTTCAAACGTGAGTTGGCACATACGTTTTCAGCAAACTCATACCTCATAAAAGCCATTCGTTTTTGTATTTTTTAACAAGCGTCTGGCAAAGTTAAACAAAACGAAACAAAAAGCAAACACACAACGTGATGTTGTTCGCGATTCGGCGCGGCATTGTACTAATTTGTTAATAATTCCGGGGAAATCCTCTCCGGCTTCACGGACAAGTAAACACGTATCAGTGCGTAGGACGAAAGCGACAGTTAGAATTTCCTTTGTTCTTCGTGGCAAATTATAAAACAAAACATCTAGGCGTGCTCAGTAACCGCCTTTTATTACCGAGAACGTAGCCACACACACGTGTAATCAAACTCTCGTTTAAGAGATACCTCTTGTGTAGTATCGCAGCTTGTTTTGTCTTAATTGCCGGACGCTGCTCCCGCCGTCCATTTAAGACTGCTTACAGTACCTTGAGAGGTTTAATCGTCGGCGGCGGCTGGTCTTGCTTGCACGTCAGGATCATTTGAGGTGTGAAGCCGTACTGCGCGAGTCGGCCAGAGAATGGGTGCACCTTCGCTGTCGGCGTCTTCGTACTTGGTCTCGCTGTTCGTGAGAAACGCGACATGGATTTTAGGAATCCTCTTGTGTGCCGGACTAACCGTTCCGTTCCTTCGGTGGTTTCGAGTCTGGAAGGCGCTGAGGCCCTTACCAGGACCATCGGACATTGTGCCTTTCTGGTTCAGTCTCAGCTGCATTAAGTCATTCCTACAAGAGAGAAGGGAGAACAAGTATGCTACAACACGTAAGTGCGCCCATTAAATGCGCGGAATTTATTTTTACATAAACGTGATTTCTCGCAAACGTGCTTTCGTAGCACGCTATCTTTTTTTTTTTAGGAAGCACGCGGAATTTTTATAATTTGTGTTCTCTAGAAAGAACGCAGAATTCATTCGTTTTTGCAGCATTCAAAATAGGTACCAATATTTTTTCCTGTCAAAGGGAAAAAAGTATATGAATAATGTGCCGATCGTGCATTCTAGACCGCAGGACAATGTTAGTCTAGCGCAGTAAAAAAAAAAAAAAAAAAAAAAAAAAACGAAATAACGAAAATGAGCAAATAATAAGCTGACGTCAGGAAACTTTAACTGCAGGCAAAAATGCTGTGTTCGCGAATATTCTGAATTATGCTAACCTGTACTCCAATTGATTATGCTACTTGGCTCTAACTGGTTATGTCAGTAAAAGTGGGTGTCTCAGAGAGCTTTAGCAGACGGTTCCGACAACTTGGTAACAATATCCGATACTCCGCCGGCGTTCTTCTTTATGCCTCGTATTGTCGTGGAATAATTCTTAACGGAGCTATCGGGATTGTCAACTAGACTCCATATTAAATTATATATTTTGCCCTTCAGACCTCTCCCAGTGCTCTACACCGTATACACCCTCATGTCGCGCTCTTTCGATCGGTCTGGTCGTATTACATTACGAAGAACTATGTTACTTCTCTCAAATGTTTTCACTATAAACTCCAAATGTACGGTTTCACCTAGGTTTGAGCGCAACCCAGTGCTACGAGCCGATGGCGACAATCAAGCTACACCCAAAATGCCACGTCAAAAAAAAAAAAAATTCGTTTGTCTATGTCTTTTGTTATCGCCAACTGATTCAATTGAGCATGAATAATCCTTCGTAATATCGTGCCTCTAGTGTGTGCGTTTGTGTTTGCGTTGCCATTAGCTTCTGGGCGCATTCGGGCGTGAGGTAGCATCGAGTATAGATAATTTTCTGCCACCTGTTCATTCGCGCTAGCCAGAATTTCTCCCCAAAAACCGAATACTCGCTTCTATTGACCGCCTCAAAATACTTAGCTGCTCTATTTTTGCGTCTAATTAAATAATTTTTTTCCGACCATTTTAATCTTCAAAAATAATCCTTTCTTGACCTAAGATACTCTCTTCACCTGTATTTGCGCCCACACAGAATGTGTTCACATGCATTTTAGCCCCCCGTTCCAACTGGGGGATAACAATTTTGTCCACCGATAATTTTCCACAGAATAATAAAAGAAAACAAAATCTTTCGTATTTTAGTACATACACACACAAAAAAAAAGGTACAGCGAGTGCCTGGCCCATCAAAATGTGGAAACCTTTATGAACGGCGTGCGCGAACTATAGGGGGGCACTCCTCTAGCTATCGTCATCATCCTCTTTTGTGACGTCACGGGTAGGGCACACTGCTACAGACCGCGCGAATCTTGGATCCCTCGGCTCGTCAGTCTCCTTCATGTGCTATTCCGGTAACGCGCGGCAAAGCCTGTTTCACGCGTTGTGTTTTGTTTGCGGAAGAGATATTTGTAGAACGGAACATTTTACCAAAGCTTGAATGCGTGGAACGCATAGTCGTGCTAACAAACACGTTCTGCGCTGAGGTGTTAAAGCGCTCAAATGATGGTGTGCTGTTTCCTACTCCAGTGCAAAAAAAAAGCTGTAGAATTAGAATGAAATATCTAGCGCTTTACCCCCCTACAACATCTACCACGGTGAATACGGTGTACTTCTTTTATTATTATGATTCGGACAAAATAAAAATGAGAACGGAAGGTCTCATTAAATTGAAAATACGAAAGTGAAATTCAAGAACCTTTCGCGTGTGTAATAAACAGATCAGTGAAAGCGACTCCGTGCATCCCGTTGGTTCCAATGTGCCCCGTGAGTCTCTTGTTAGTTTCGAGTTGATTCTTTTTTGAATTTCGTAAACCAGTAAGCAAACATCTCCGCAAAATAACTGGCAGGAATAAGCGGTGGCTGGCTCCCGGAGTCGCTTCAACTAAATCCCTGCTTATTCACCGGGTCGACGCGAAACGTTCGTTTGCGGTCTGTTGAATCCAGTTAGTCGGTGACACTTCAGCGTCCCAAAAATGAGCTACAAACATGCAATGAGTTACTACCGTTTGAATGTTTAATTTTACGAACCCAAAGAGTAGACTATGCTTTCGTAAATCCATCACCGTGCGCGTTGCATTCTCGAAACCTCTAGGCTAGGAGCGGAGCCCGTATGGATTTAGCTTCATCCTAATTCCCGCAATGCATAACGTGGCATTACGGCCGCGATGAGGTGCTTTGAGGTGTGGATTCGCGTAATGCATGATGCGCATTTGAAATTTGTAAACAATTTCCACAAAAAAAACTGGATATAACAAATTAATCAATCACTTTAATTTTCCAGGATATGGCCGACAATTTAAAATAAATTATGAAAATTTCTGCTTTCTTTTTTTTTTTTTTTTTGAGCAGAAGTCGCGATGTCACAAACTTCTTTGGCACGTATTCGATGCGGGAGGACCTAAGAGTCAGTTGCTGGTGAGCATTCGTTCGCCAGGAACTGCCTTACCACACTTGGAGAGAACCGTCGGTATCGGCAAGCTCATTGTAGCCAAAACAAGGGTGAGGCGCTCTGCGACACAACTGTGCGCGCGTGCACAGCTAATATGACAGCATGTGATTTACTCTGGTAAATGGAAAACTTTTTTTCTCAAAAGAAACTCTACAGATTTGAAAAAAAAAAGAAAACAAGATTCAGAAAGGCTGTGAGTAGCTCAGGCGCACACCGCGCAACTCGCTGTGAAGCGCTATGCTTGTTTTAAAACATTTTAATTTTTTTTAGTACCAAAAGCAAGTTGAGGTGCCGTTATTTCCTAGAGAGCCCACTCACAACAACATCATAAGCCTTTCTTTGTTTTTTGTTTTTAATAAAGCGTTTTTAATTGGCGTCGATGCGAATTAACATAGCCACTCCGTAGCGCGACGAGTGCCCGTGTCCTTCCCGCTCCGTCACAGGAGGGCGCCCCACCAGGTAGCGCCACAAAAAACATCTCATCGCCGAAATGAGAGCGGCAGGGAGCGCCTGTCGAACGCCTCTTCTCCGACGCGAACTCCATGCCCTCCACTGTACTTCTTTGGTGAGCGCGCGCTCGTGGTGAACGAGACGTCCAAGCGTTGTCGGAGGTAGGAATATCGCACGGGAGGCGGAGACAACACAAGCTGCTCCCGGCCGGCCTCGCCTTGTCAGTGACTATAGACACATTTAACTTTGTGAGAAATTACCTGGAGACTGTAGGCACAAAGAGAATAACACACATAGACGGAACGGCAGTGAGACCTTGTGTGTATGTGTGTGTGTGTGTGTGTGTTGTGCATTTTATGCCTGCAGACTATTTTTGTTTTTAGGGCGCAGCTCTTAGGCGTCCGTTTCCGTGTTTCGCGGAGTTGCCATTGGCGTAACCACCCTGCTAAGTTTGGTGAAAAATTGAATTTGTGTTGAGGTCACGTGACGTCAATTTTCCCGCTAAATCTAGAGGAGAAGCTGAATTTGTTCATGGGGGACGAGACACCAAGTCATGTGACGTCATTTTCCCCGCTACATTTAGCCGGGATATTTCCCTGTTACATTTAGCGGGAACAATTCTCCGTTAAGTTTAGCGGGATAAGGAGGAGGAGGGGTGGGTACGGAGGTGCTTACCCTCCCCTCCTCCTCGAGAGCTGAGCTCTAATTTCGCATTACAGATATTTGTAAACGTCTTTCGTTTTTGTGTTATGCTGTTTGTTGTTGGCTTGCTGGCGCCTACAAGCTTTGTTTACTTAAAAGTTGGTGCGTTGACTTGGTGCATATTCGGATTCATCATAGTTACCTTGCCGCCCATTTTTTTTAGGAATATTCAGCACAATTCGCGATCTGGGCAAGCAGTACACGGGCAAACTCTTCAAGGTGTACGTTGGAATGACTCCCATTGTCGTTCTGCACACCCCTGATGCCGTGGAGGTAATGGAAATAGTTATTTTGTTTTATAATTATTACTATTATTATTATTATTATTATTATTATTATTATTATTATTATTATTATTATTATTATTTGTTGTTGTTTTTGAAATATTAAGAGTGACTTTCAGTTTACCGCAACATCTATTTGATTAATCTACAGGCACTACTCACAAGCAACACCAACCAGAAAAAGCCATTTCTGTATCATTTCATCGCGCCATGGTTGGGAAACTTCAACATTCTGCTGTCGTGAGTACAATATAACAACGGACGTTTCCCAGGAAGGTTGAGCACTTCCACCTTTCAACTCCCAGCTATCGACGAAGACTTTTGCGTGCTTCGGAGGAATGTCAGACAGGGGAAATATCATTTCGGACTTGTTCGAAATTTAAGACACTTTTAAACAAAGTATTCCCAAGGCTGGGACACTTGAGCTCATGATACGCGTCTTCTCCTGCCACTCCGCTCAAGCACTCTAACTTTGACAGCTTAAAAAAAAAAAAAAAAAAAAACGCAGTGTATGGTATGCTATGCTTAGAATTCTTGCTTCGTGATTTTTTTTTTTGTGTGTTCTTATTGGTTAGCGCCACAGCCTTAACGTTTGAGGAGTAATAATAAAATGCGGGTGGCTTGCCAAGCCCTGCGTAGCTGTTAGTGACTGTCCACCTTAGGAACAATGTTCTCGCCATCTTTTTCTTTTTTAAAGAACAAAGCTCTTTCGAGCTGGGGAGTTGTGACCAAAAACTCAAAGGAGGTATTTCAGTCATCGCAATTCCAGTTCGAGCTTCCCACCCCTTGACGTCTAGTGGGCCTCGAGCGTGAGCGCATAACCGAAACACGTTGGAAGTCAACGAATGCCCAGCCGGGGGTGTTCAAAAACCATCTTTCATGCACGCTAGGTTGCGGAGGTCGATGACTTATGCAGTTTCCCTTTGCCACACTTTCCTAGACCACCTCCGTGGTATCGAGGTGCGGCCTCCGGGGTGTGGGGAGTAGGGTTCGAATCCTCGGTGGTCCCTTGCCCAAGGTGGCTTCGAGACGTCGCTCAGTGACCCCGTTGCATGGCAACGGGGACACTGAGCCACGCACTCGCTTGCACTGTAACATAAAGCTACAGTATCGCCTTTTTAACTAAGAAAAAATATTTTGTTTTATCCACCGAATTTTATGAAAAACCCGACACGTTAAGACGTGATGTTCCAGCGGTACATAAAATTTAATACCTTACGCAAAGTGTATAAGCCCATAAGGTTCATTAAGTCCGAGGACACTTAAGCATTTCTTTTAAGGTGTGAATGCGAAAGCATGCTGCCTGCGACGTATTGCTTCCGCCTCGCGTTATCGAAGGGCCTCTTCCTCTTGCGGCCTGAGAAGCTTTGAATCGTGATCCGTTTGCGCTCATGCTTTCGAAAGGCTTAGTTCTGTCTCCTAGCGCGTTGCGCCGCTGCTCGTTCCGCTCGCCGTGTATTCGGAGACTTGGCAACGACGGTGCATTTCGCTGCCTGCCTCCTCGCTTGTTGTGCTGCGTTAGTCCGCTTCCTTACTTCGTCTGCGGTGTACTTGAGTGGACGGGCAGCTTTCGCTACTGCCGAGGTTGCGGGCGCCGACGATGTTCGTCGGCATCGAGAGGAGCACAAGAGGCCGAGCGCGCGCCACCGTGTTATACGGCGCGGGGCCTGCAGAACCATGCGGTGGAGCTCCTTGAAACTATGACGCGCGCCAGCCAATGGGAGCCTATCCACCAAATCGCTGCGACAGAATGCAGGCTTCGTTCCATTGGGACAGGGGAAATTAGGTGCCATTTAGACTTAGACGTCATTCTTGGAACGGAAACGTGGTTAACTACCGATATGAAAAAAAAATGATGAGCTCATTTTAAACAGATCGTACAATATGTTTCGTAAAGATAGACTGCTGGCTAGAGGCGGTGGCGTAATCATCGCTGTCAAAAAACATTTGTCATGCTCGCAAGTCGAATGTTGTTCTGATCTCGAGATTTTGTGGATTCATATTGAACTGGATTTTCGCTGTGTCATAGTAGTGGTTTGTTATCGCCCACCCCATTTTAATCGCTTAGGTTTCAACATTTGATTATACCATGCCCTTGGATCTGTCACCAAAATATTTCCTAGTGATCACTTCTTTCTTAGTGGCAATTTTAACTATACCGAAATAAACTGGTCAAAACTAATGCCACTCCCTGACTATGCAAACTCTCGACAGTGTACGGAGTTCTTTTGTGTAACTGGTGTGTATGGTCTTCAACAAATTATCACCTCGGCAACCCGTCGTGACGCGATATTAGAACTGTTTTTCACTAATAAACCAGAATGTGTGACGTCCGTCACTATCATTGAGCATATAAGTGATCATGCTTTGATTCAAATCGAAACACCATTAGGAGTAACGCGCTCCGAAAATACGCCGAAAAACATATTCGCATTTTCACGAACCAATATTTAAGGACTGACAGTAGCCATAACGAACTTTGAAAGGTATTACATCTCATCAAAGTGTGACTGGCAAGTGAAAACTGGGTACTCATTAAAAATGTTTTCAGAAAACTACTCCAAACATTTGTTCCCAAAACTACAGTTTGATGTGATCGTACATCTCCCTGGTTTAATAACAATTTAAAACGTATTTTAAATAAAAACAAAAGATTATTCGCAAATGCAAAGAAAACAAATAATTTTGATGTTTGGTCATCATAGAATTGTGTAAAAGCGAATTAAAGAAAGCGAAAAAAGATTTCTTTTGGGTGACTTTGCCGCATATCTTATCTACAGACCCCAAGTGATGCTGGAAGATAATAAATCCAAAGAATCTAGAGAAAGCCCAGTGTTCATAAATGACCAAGGTGAAACACTCCGTGATGGCCAGGCTGCCGATTCGTTGAATTAATTCTTCGCCAGCATTTTTACGCACGAAATCTTTCCGCTCCCCTCATTGCCCACCTTATCTTGAAGACTTGATGCCTCCAATTATTTTCTCACTCCTGAAGGAATTCTTAAAACTATCTTACACTTGACCTCCAATAGCGCTCCTGGAAACGATAGGATATCGGCCAAATTTTTTGAACTAATTTATCATCCAGCATCCAACATACTCAGCATATTCTTTCAACAAAGTCTAAATTCTGGTGAGGTACCATACGACTGGCGTTTCTCCCAAGTTAGACCCACCTCTAAATCATGCAGCAAATCAAATATAACTAACTACCGACCCATCTCGTTGATTAGTGTACCCTGGAAGCTCATGAAACATGTACTTTACACCCACATCATTTCGTACCTGGACCATCGCGACTTTTTCCCCAACCAGCATGGTTTTAGGAAACATCACTCATGTATCAGCCAATTATTTGAATTTACCACAGATTTTCAGTTTAATAATCATTCCTCAGGAGAAACCGACGTTATTTTCATTGATTTTGCGAAAGCTTTTGATACCGCTCCGCACAAACGACTACTTCTTAAACTTTCTCTCCTCCACACTTATCCTTCAGTCATCAGTTGGATAGCATCGTTTCTAAGAGAGAGGTCAGTTTCAGACAACAGTCCTTCATCAGCATCAGTCTCAGTAACTTCCGGTGTTCCCCAAGGCAGCGTCCTCGGCACCCTTCTTTTCTTATCTATATTAATTATCGTCCTTCCTCAATTAACTCGACTATCCGGCTATTTGCCGATGACTGGGTTGTATACAGAAAAATTAGTGACCCCACAGATCATTACATTCTTCAAAACGATCTCGACACCATAAGCTCCTGGTAAACCCATTGGCAGATGAATATTAACCCCGGAAAATGCAAACAAATGACCGTTACCACCAACTCGACCAAATCATCTCGCGAATATTCATTACTGTCACGACAATTAGAAAGTGTCTCATCATGCAAATACTTGTTTACATTTCTGAAACATTATCGTGGAATGAACACACCGACTATACATAATCACCAGCTCAACGACATCATTAGCTTTTTTGAGGCTGAACTTTTATTTGGTCCCTGCTGTGAGAAAATAACACAAATATATACAATGATTCGACCAAAACCTGAATACGCAAGCTTTGTGTGAAATCCGCATTAAAATTATCTAATATCAAACCTAGAATCAATTCAAAACAAAGCCACCCGCTCATCCTAAACGATTATTCTCCAGAAAGTTGTGTCTCTGCCTTAAAATCAAGACTTGGTCTCGCTTCATTAGCCACACGACGCGAAATTAGCCGCATGTGTTTCTTCCATCAAGTTTACCATAGTAATTCACAGTTCAGAAATATTTATTGTCAAAGAACCCATTATATTTCTTCTCGAAACGACAACGCATTTAAATTCCTTCAATACCGTTCCAATAATAACTCATTCATGTTTTCTCCCTTAATATTGTGGGTTACAGAATGGAATAACTTGCCAGATCATTTTGTAACCAACTTAGATATTACAGCGTTTCAAGAAATGTGCGTGCTTTTTTTCGATGGGTAGGGAATGTCTGTTTGTGTATAAATATCTTGTTTTCTTTGTGGTTAGACGAGATGTGGTTGTGTTAGTGTTCTTACGTTCTTTTTTTTTTTTGTATTCCCATTTATTTCACCCTCCTCATGTAATGCGTCCTCAAAAGACGCCCTTGAGGTAAATAAATAAAAAAAATGAAATGAAATCTGGCGCGCGGCTTCACAAGATGATAATGCCGGTTCGCGCCTTGGGATCCAGTTAATGCTTTCGCATTAGAAGAACATAAGAAGGACACCCCGACGGGAATCAAACCCGCCACCAGGGAATTGCTAGCCCGATATTCGTACCAACTGACCTAAAAGTCTATTCACACGATGCATCTTGTTGGCGAATTTGTGCCGCGAAATTAGGTTTCGGGAAACAGATTCTCCGTCTGAACGCGACCGAAAAAGTGGCGCGCCCCCGAAAAAAGTGGCGCGTGTTCCTCGCTTCTGGAGCAATTTTTCGTTGGAACCTTACCGAGGCCTGTCAGTCACCCGAAGGAGAAACGCGGACGCTGCTAATGGCCGCTCGACTTCGCTGTGACGTCTGACATTCAAGAAGGAGCTAGCTTTTGGAGGAGTCTGATTTTTGGCCGATTCCGTATCCGAGCTAAAGACAAAAGAAAAAACAAAACAAAAAAAAACATGGCGAGCGACAAGGTGAGGAGCGGTGCGTACGGGCGATGAGATTTGGTACTACTCGGCGGCAGGTGTGTGAACGGCGCCGTACGGCTTGGTAGCGCGGTGCAGATTCAGTGGCGACGAGTGCAAGCACCGCATATAAACATGATGGCTGCGGATAACTTTCTTTATTAGAGGTGCAAAATTGTCCTAAATGCTTCGAGATCATCCGCCTGTTCTTTGACGTTCGCAGTCTATCTCGGGTTCGGCAGGACCACTAAATCCAGTGAGCCGAATTTGACGAAGTTGATTGAGTGGCATTAACAAAATAGACTGTCTCTTCACACTGTGCGTACATCATATCATTTTGATGCGAAACGCGTGGTATGCCCGGTGCAGATATCAAGGTTTGGCAAAATTCTCGTGAGTCAATACGCCGCAGGTTTCGCGCGTCAAACTCCATGTCTGAATAGGCCAATTTCGTGAAATCTCGGTTTCGCTAAACTGTGGCGCGTTGAAAATATGCATCGTGTGAATAAGCGTTAAGGGGCGCCTGTGTTCAGAGAGAAGCTGCGGAAAGTTCAGGTTGCGTGAGGAACGGGTGCTCTCCGAAGTGTGTGGCATCATTTCAACATATCCTGTGCTCCCCCCTCTTTGTCAGCCTGATCAACCTTGCATACATTTTATTTCGTATACTTTCCCTTTTTAATGTTCTCACATTATCAACTCTCTTATCAGAAGCAAAAGACGCGCACGCATAGTTTTGTTCATCGTTGCCTTTCTTTTTTTTTTTTTTGTCTTTCTGCACCGATACGATTCCGGCTTTCCTTCGTTGAGCAGAACCGGCGAGACCTGGCGAAACAGGAGGAAGCTCATGACGCCGGCGTTTCACGTTCGGGTCCTGGACAACTACATGAGCGTTTTCAACGAGAGCGCTGACTTGCTGGTGAAGCATATTTGCACGGTCGCCGACGAGGCGCCTGACGAGCCCATACGCCTCTTCAAGAGCATGCAGAAGTGTGCCATGGACATCATCGGAGGTAGGCGTGGATCTACCTAGAGTCACTGAGGTTGACTTCAGTTCTCCCTACCGCACATAGGAACATGCGCGTGTTTGAAGTAGCGCTGTACGTCTTGAAAACATTCGAAAGAAGGCATAACAAATCATTTTCTTATATAGAACACACCGCCTAAAGGCTGCTTCACGCAGTCGCAATTGCCAGTGACTGAGTGCGCTGTGATCTCTTCTAGCCGCTTAATGAATTGGCACGCTGGCGCCACATATCGGGTAGACATGGAATAGCTCCAACGTGTGTATAGCCAGCTAGACTGAAGGTTTTGCGATATGTTCGAGATCAGACGGGCCTACTCTATCTATGTGAAATATTCGCGTATAACTAGGGTTCCGTGTTTTCAGAGCTTATTTCTCCTGAAATTCGGATGGTGTTTTTCGGAGTTTATTTTTCGTTGAAACTTCCGGGTCTATCGGAGTTTATTTTTGGTATATTCCCGAGCCTCCGGAATTCGGAGCTAATTTACTGCGTTACCAATTTCTAGAAAATAAAAAAAAATATAAACAATAATGCAAACACCTTTTTTCATTGGTTCGGGATTTTAAGTGAAACTGAAGTTGCATCTCCTCAGGACCACTGACCTTGTGCTCTTTTAAGGATTAATTCTAAAACGCTTTTTATTTTTTTTTATTTTTTTGCCGTTTTGACCTCAGAATTTCAAGTTTTGGGGCATGAATTCGAATAGAGGAAAAACTTACCGGCAGATCTGTTTTGTGGATTCTTTTTTTTTTTTCAGATTTAATCAAAAACAGCATGCTTGTAATCGAAACATAAATAGTGGGAAGAACATGAAACACAAAGACGGACAAGATGGTTTTTAGTGTGGAGTACTCTCCCAACTGGAAATCGAGCCCGCAATGAAAGTGCGCTCCCTAAAATATATATATATTTTTTTAAAATATGAATTGGTGGAACAATGTTTATGAAAATCACATTAGAGGGGGCAGCGGCGCTATGGAAACACCCTTTTAGAGAGAGGGTGTACTACAAAAATATTTACGCAGGTCAAAAGTGTTCCGGGGCCACCCGATAGACGGCGCCAGTTTGTTAAGCGGTTACGAGAGATTATCATAATCTTGGTCACCATCAAACGCGAATATGTGAATCAGCCTTAACACAGACCATTCCAAGAATCATCTCTAGCCTTCTGCCATCTTTCACTTCAGGGCTCTGGAAGGCAATTCGAGCACGTGCAGTCGGTCTCTCATGCGAAATATTGGATGTCGCGCATGGGTCCATAGTCGAGTACCAGGACATTCTTCGTCTGGCTGATAAGCACTAGAAAGCTGTAGATATGGTATTCCGCAAACGCCATATTAAAAAAAAAAAAAAAAATGTCTTTCGGCGCGCATGCTCACAACTATGCGGGTAGAAATTTTGGGGACGTCGAATCACCGAGCTTTAGTGGGAATTAGTGGCTAGATCCAAAACTTGCTGTCTTTACCTCTACTCGGTGTTCGAACGCGTGTGAACGCGGACACAAAACGCCGAAGGTCGGCGTTCAAACGCGGTCGATGATTGAGTAAAGGCAAAGCAAACTCGCCTTGCCGCTACCCACTAATCCTTCCAACCAGAACTCGGCGTTCCGACGGAACCCGCGCGTTCTCGTCTTCTCCTCTCCCTGTTTCTTGGCGCACAGACTGTTGGTTGCAGGTTAAGAAGGCTGGACAAGTTTATCCTACAGAGCCCTCCACTCTTTCCAGTTTAGCAGAGCGAAAGCTGGAAAGAAGCTATCATTTGACAAAACTATTAGCCACGGGGTCCCGTGCACGTTTCCTGTATGGCCATGAGGTTACCTGATGATGTACGACGTTGATTGACGACATGAAATGCCACACCTGGCCACGTCAAATAACATCCCGCAGTAGTAACTTATTTGATCCCGTAATCTATAGTGAGTGGGTATTCACGTAACCTAGGGTGACTAGGTAATCGAACAATACACACGTGGTAAATTACTAACACAACGTTAATGCTGTTGTTTCGCTTTTAGCGTAATTAATCTTTCTCTTTTTTTGTTTTTGTTTTTACTTTCAGAAGTTACGATGGAAACCAAGTTTCGGCTGCAAGAAAACAAGAATATCTCCTTCATGAACGCCTTCAATCGGTATGCGTTGCACTCAGTCCTTAGAAACGCGCCGCATTGAAGCATGCCTTCGTTTTCCTAATACATCACGAAACTGCCCCTGTTGTCACTAAACTTAAAGGCCGACAACCAGACTCGAGATTCTGCAAGGCAGAAGATCCTCCTCACCATGGGGGGGAGGAAACAGGCAGCGGGGGACAGGGTAAAACGGGAGGGGAGGAAACGGCCGAAAAGTGGAAAGCGCGAACTGGTCGTCGGTCTTTAAGGAACGCAAGGCTAATATACGCCGAAAATGAACCCCTAAAGCCGGGGTCACAATGCTTATGCTTCAAACAAAGAACAGTCTGCATACAAATTCGAACGCGAGTCACCATGACATACGTGCTTCGAATGTCGCATGGCAATGAGTTCAAGGAGAAATCTTGGCACGAGGCATTCGAACCACGGACATTGCGGTGACTCTTGTTTGCAGACTGTATGATGTGTGAGGAGTGTGACTCCGGCTTTTATCAGTTTTCTTAAAATGAGAAAAGGGGGAGAGAGATCCCGAATTGTGGTGGTCCTTGAATAGTTAAAACCCACGGTGTACTGCAAGACAATCTTTATCTACAGACTTATTTTATGTTAGCCCCGAACAGATCACGCGCTGTATTGTCCGCTAGTCATGATTCTTTCTTAGTAACCACATATATCTAACGTCGTTTCCTTCTCTTAATGGTACCGGGACGTTTTCGAAGTTTTTTAGGTCATTATAATGTTCCCGAGAGGTTCAAAAAAACATTTCCGCGCAGTTTCTTTTTTTTTTTACATACTTTTTGGAAAACGTTGATGTTTTCTTTCACACCAAAGATATATTGTCTCTGGTGTTTGGGGTTCCACACCAAACACCAGAAAACACGGAATTTGTGGGGGAAATAACACCCCGAAAACATTCCTAATTATGACCGCGCGTCTTGATTGATTTTTTTTCATCATGTTTTATTGTTTAATGCCGTAATCGCATTAGCTGTGCAGTGATAATAACAGATTCACAGTGCTCGCTGCCATACCCTGCGTTTATTTTATTCTTTTTAAGCCGTCGGTGACTATACATGAAGCTTCTGCTTAACACGACGTGCATCAAGTGTTTAAAAGTGGCGTTCCTTTTGTTTTCTCTTTTCAGGGTGATGTTTTTGGTCTCTGTGAGAGCTTTCAGACCATGGCTGTGGATTCAGAAGCTCTATGACAACACGCTCGAGGGAAAATCTTATGAGGCGGACGTTCAGGAAATGATAACATTGTCTAACTCGGTGAGAAACCTCCACTTCGTTTTCTACCACAATCAACGTAAAACACGAAATATTCCTTTCTCGTGGCCAACTTTTGGTCTCTAAGTCTGTCTGTAGTCTGCTAGCGCTCGTAGGGGCGTATCGCAATTGATAACGAGAGTACTGAACAAAAGAAATCCTTCTTTTTTTATTGTTTTATTACAGCTCACTTTTTTACAGAAAACAAGCTCAAAAACAATGTGGATTCGTTAACCTTATTTGGATTTTCCCACTATATTTTCCAGGAGCACTTGTATCCTAGTGATAAGCGACGCATCCGCTGCATACTGCATAGCATATAACTTCGATGCATTTTTTCATGCTGGGTACAATCTATATTTTGGCTCTTATTGCTACCTATACGAACAACATGAATGTTGAAAAAATACTAAAATGAAACAAGCAACGTTTGCTGCCTCGCTGCTTAATATAATGCGTACGCACACGTAATACTATTTCATTGGTACAACCTTCATGGGTGTACTTGAGTGAATGCATCATGTTTGTTGTTTTCAAAAAGATTATGTACAAGCAAAAGGAGAAACTGCAATCTACAAAAGTCCTCCCTACAACTGGCTCCGAAGATGATGAACTCAATATTAAAAGAGAGACGATACTCATGAACATTCTCTTAAGAAGACATATGCAAGACAGCAGTTACACGTTGGATGACGTTAGGAACGACAACGACACTATCGTATCGGCGGTAAGTAAACTTTACGAGCTTGACTTCCTCTTCTAAAGCTGCGATCAAGCGTCGTAAGCAGTAAAACAGCTCCATACTTGGGTACATAATTTCCGCATTTAATTAGATTATAATTACATCAGCTTTCCTCCAAGTATATTTACCTACAGTTATAACAAGAAGCGCACAAAAAGTAATTATTACAATTACGTATACATTATTTTCCAGAATTAACTCAGTTACTTAGCAATTACTTACCTTCGATGTCTCCACGAGATCAGCGACGTCTATATGATATCCTTTTTCCGCGCTATGATAAATATGTACATTACTTCTCTGACCAGATTCAATCCCTCTAAGTCTGAAAAGTCTGTTTTCCTGCAAAGAACTTTGGAAAGTCAATCGGTGCTATTTACGGTATAAGCTTGGCGAATGACCCAGGTGATGATAGGTTTAGTCTTTAAAAAGACTGCCCACGCTGTGGAATTGAGCATGGTGAAATGTTATGCTCAGTGCCACAGCGCAAACTTTTCTTTTCTTTTTTAGTTTTAGACATTTTACCAGCACCGTCATTCCCCGAGCTCATTCCATAATTTTGCAGCAATTGGCATTCCTAAGTGTTTTGCATCTGTATTTCTCTATTTATTTGGCTAAGGACAGCCGCGACGCCGCAGGAAGGCCAGCTTCTTATGACGAGGAAGCCCTACGTCGCCGCGTATAGTAGGGTGAGGATGTGGTGAGTACAGACAGATGAGTAAATGGAGATGACGAAGATCCGCGATTGTAGATGAAGGTGTGAACGGGGGGACGATTTGCGAGAGAGCCGACGTTCCATGTTTTTTAGAGTGTTATACGGCGCGTTGAACATTCCTCCCATCTGGCACCCTTCGTTATTTCTTTTTTTATCTACGTCCCCAATGTTTGGTCAAATGAAATGGCATAAGCTAGGAGTTAATCTCGTTGCATTTCAACTACTGCTTTCACCGCGTCACTGCCAACAACATTTCAGAGTTCCACGACTGATGATTTGGACGGCGGGCCATGAAGAAGGTGCTCCGTGTACCTTTTAGTCACAGTATTGAACGGTGCTACAGCGGGACATTATTGCTAGGAAAAAAGCTAAAGCTGTAATTTAAGTATTGCAGTAACGGAATCTAAACAGTATTGAAACTACAATTATTTACACCTGATTCTAACCGGGTACAACGAACGACAAGGAGACAAGGGCATGATGTTGACTGTGTGAACGTGTGCAAACTCGGCGGAGGTCGTGAGAGAGGGTGGCGTATAAAACATCAATGTGTGAATGAAACCTCGTCAGCTGCGTTCTAGACGTGTGTGTTTGTCCGTTGTCCCCTTGTTGTCTTTGCTCAGATCCGCGTTTAACGTTAACCAGCTCGCCTGTTTATTAACCTTGGCTTCTGAACTACTTTGAGTTAAAAGTAATTAATTACAACTGCACATTTTTCAGAAAAGCAATTAGATAACCGCTTTGGCCTGGGCTCTTCATACTTGGTTAGTAATACCTAACCAAGTATGAAGAGCTCAGGCTCCTGCAGCCGTTTTCGGAGATTTTATGAGTCCTGCTGAATGCAAATTACGTTTGGTCGACAAAATGTAACCCTCGTCATTTCAGGGAACCGACACGATCACAACTTGCATGTGTTTTACACTGCACTACCTCGGACTTTACCCCGAAGCCCAGGCCAAAGCGCATCAGGAACTGGATGAAATATTTGGGAACGATACGGACTGCGAGATCACAGCGACCCACATCCGACAAATGAAGTACATTGAGTGTTGTCTAAAGGTATGGGCGGTTTTTTCTTGGTTGCTTGGTCGGGCTCTTGCCCTTTCGTCATACAGGTATTCAGACATTGTATTTTCGCTTCAATGAAAACTGCTATCACAACCTTGCAGGAGTCTCTGCGGTTATATCCGTCATTTCCTGTAATCGGAAGAGTACTTGATGAAGATGTGACGATGGGTAAGAAAAACAAGCACGTACAGATAATGAAACAGCCGAATCATGGTGTCAAGTTTATTCGACCAGTTGTGCTGGTAGATTGTCTAAGCTGAGCAGATATACTTCGTTTCAGCTTCGGTCCGAGCGCGGCCGATGTTATGAGCCGAAGGGCCAATCAAACACCGCAAAAAGCGCAGCGTCATTGCGTGCTCTTTGCGATTGATAGGACAAGCCGGCGGAGGAGCGCACACGGAGAGACGGTAAATACCGGCTGGTTCTACCAACTGCAGAGAGCACGCCATGACGTGCCTCTTTCGCTGTTTGATTGGCCCTTCGGCTCATAACATCGGCCGCGCTCGGAACGAAGCTGAAACGAAGTATAGAACAATGGCCTCATTAAAAAAATAGCATTGTTCAGATGTCACGTCACAACGCATCTGTGAGAGCGCGCATTTAGTTAAGAAATTTACAACATCAAAACTCACTCAGACATTAAACTAAAGAAGACAAAACCATAAAATTACAACAGAATTACACCAGATCTGATATTCCAACACTTCCATGAACACCGGTAAGTAAATATAAATAGACCGAAACACACTCAACAGTGTTCAGTTATCTGGCTCTAAGCATCCCAATCTACACATTCTGAAAAATCCAAAGAAAAATTTAATGTAGAAGATTGTATTTTTATTTAGAACAGATTCGCAAAAAGGGGGGGGGGGGGGGTATCGATACGTAGGTACCGTCTTTCATGGGTGTAAATTGGCAGGATAAACATCCCAAAACCTATAATCATCAACTAATGTTTGTTTATTCACCGCTAATTATTTGATCGGTATGTCATATTGCAAATGCAGTTTAAATTCCGTCATTATCGGAACATAAACCCATGTAAAGAATTTAGAAAAGTGCAATCAGTTTTGTGATATACGTAAAACAGATTTCGAGTTTTCGTCCCTTGATTCTGAGACTAGGCGGAAAGTACCACCGTAAGTCCATCTGATATTGACGCGTCGAAGAATAAAGCTGTTTTTATAGCATCTTGTCATTATCTGAGAAGCGTGTCTTTGGGGGGTGTGCCGATTCCACGCTGGCCAGGTTATGACGAGGTGCCCGAAACGAGTGCGTTCCCCCACGCAGTGTTGTTGACAGGGTTCGCGGCGATTTTTCTGCATCTAGTTTCGGGATCAAACTTCAAAAACTCAAAACCTGATTGATGAGCATCCTAAAGCACGTTGTATATGTTTAATGCCTAAATCAGCTTAGTTCTTATTAGCAAGTGTCAAGAATAGAAGTGCAAGATGAGTCATTCAAACATTAATTAAAAGGGAATCATCAAGTTTAGTCAATTAGCTAAGAGATTGTTACATTTGCCCTTTTACCTAACGTCTGTTGAGCCTGTCGAGCATGTAGTGAGGAGTGTAATGGTCTAACGGTCACTCCTTTTTAAATAATCTGCTTGAACAAAAAACAATCACCTCATATGGGTAAGCATGTAACCTCTAATAGAAGCTGAAATATTAGCCGAAGAGCATGTATTAGGGTTAAAACAATAAATCGTTAAACATACGGCTACTCATTTTTTTTTTTTTTTTCAGAGGGTCACGTTATACCGAAGGGTGTGATGTGCTTCATAAGCATTTATAGCCTGCACAGAAACCCGAAGTATTTCAAAGATCCCGAAGAGTTTATCCCCGAGAGATTCTTGTCTGAGGAGATCAAGACACGACACCCTTTCAGCTACATTCCCTTTTCTGGCGGCTCCAAGAACTGCCTTGGTACGCAAACACTTCTTTAAGTTTGCTCGGTTGAAACAGCCATTGTCAGGACTTGGTTAAATCATTTAATTCTGTCACAAGTTCAAAACAAATTGTGCGGATGATCATGCCACGTGATGCAAATGAACAGCGTCAGTTGATGTGTCATTTCGATGATACTGCGTCCTAATTGACTGGAAATTCCGATGATGTTGCGTCGCACAGTGTCTCACGTAGACCCCCACCAATCCCACACAAAACAGATAGCAGCAAACACGTTTTCCAAAATGCGCGGCGCAAATTGCTTGGTCGCACCAGCGTGTCCATTCTTCACTCTGTTACGTTCTCTTCTACGTGCCGCTTCACGTTCACGCACAGCATTATCTTGACGTCGAAGGCCTTCTATCCTAACGCCCAAGGCCGCGTCTGTTAGCGCCTGCACATCGACGAAGTCGAGCAGCCGTTGCTTTCTCCGGCGTATGCTTCGGCCGCCCCATTCTTGCGCGCAAAGACTTGGAACGCCGAGGGAACGGGCGTTCGAAGGCGAGAAGTAGCAGGTGGCGAATAGCGCGATCACATGAACCCCAGCGCATTCGCGATTGTTCAAACGCGCTGCGCCTCAGTCGCCACTGCTATCAGCAAAAGGGCGAGGGTATCACTGCCGTGCCAACATCTCCCGACAACAAAGCCATAGTGCTGATAGAGATGTCGTCATTAGCAAAGGCCAAGGCTGGTTTCAGATTGGACACGACGATTGCGTCAGCGTTCGGCTCAAATTTGGTTCGAAACCGAGCGTTGACGCAGCACTCGTTTCCAATCTGGGTCCAGCGAAGTCCTTCGCTGCTGACGCAAGAATGTCAGCAGAGCGGCCTTGTCCTCTCGGCGGTGTTGGATGTGCTCGTCCTCGCTTGGCGTCAAGGCTACCTTCCATAAACGCGAGCATGCGCCGTTCATTTTCGGCAACACGACACTCGCCCAATACGAAAAGCCCAGTACGGCTGACGCCATAAATTAAGTGACAATCGCGATAATACCTGACTGTAGACTGAGCTTAGTGGCGCTGTCACTATTCAATCCTCCTACAGGCGCCCCTCTCAGTAGACGTTTAAAAACAAAGGTACTAACACAGAAATATATATTTTTACTGAGTTTTTTTTCTATTTTATGTCATTTATTTTAGTAACTTAACCAGCCCGCTTTGTTGTTTCAATATCCCATCTGTCCAGTTCCCTACAATTAAATTGTAGGAAATTCGACCTACCAGCTCTCCCAATAGTCTCACGGCTTCGACTTTCGAGCAATATTTTACTCGGTTACCTCATTTCTTTATCTATAATACGTTTAAAAATTTTTCGAATCTTGAAATCTGCTGGCTGACCGTTCAATGCGCGTCCATTTGTTTTCAGGCCAGAAATTTGCCATGTTGGAGATGAAACTCCTGCTGGCGAAGATCCTTCTCAAGTGCAAAATCGTCTCCGCGGAACCTCTGGATCGACTCAACGTAGCGTACGAAGTTATTGTGAAGGATAAAAGAGGAAACAGGGTATGGCTACGAAGACGGACAGAGCTGGACTCAGCCGAGCGATGAACGCCCCCGTCACATACAGTCATTGACCGCCGGCAACTGAAGTTTTGTTTTCAAGTTTGATATATTTAAAATAAAACCTCCAGAGGGTCGAGTCACGGTTGATTCTTGATCATAAAATCTCCCTTTACCTTACTCACCTGCGTGCTACACTCTAAGGAATCTGCAGCGTTTACTTTTCAACGAAGCACCTGAAAGATCCTATTGCTGCAATCTACGGATGGTGCTCGGATAATGACGAGGCTGAAACAATGCTTGTACCTAGCAAAACGTTTCGCTCTGTGGCACTAGGCATGACTGTTTCACCATGATGATTGCCAAATAAAAGACTGGTTTGTTCTCTATGTCTAACTGTATTTTCAACATCGTCGTTCTCAAAGCTTCCTTCGGAAATTTCAAAATTCCTTTTTAATTATTTTATGAACTGGGTTTGAAAGTTGAGCAAGTGCAAAGGGCTGTCAAGCCTGAGGAGGCATTGGTCCCCTACAGCTCAATATACAAAACAGTGTTCCGCCGAACGCCACGGCAAAAGCAACATATGCTAAAGCAATGCTCAGAAGCAAGACGATATTACGAAGCACATAACAATGTATGGCTATACAATACGCGCCTGTAAGACACGGGAATCAGCACTGAAATGAAATATAACGTAGATTGCAAAATGAATGAGTTTATATATATATTCATAAAAGATATCTGTATACAATGTAAGGTAAGTTAGGTTTACTGAAAGTGTATATCGCTGCCCACCAGCAATGCTCTGCCCTTTTTTATTTTAGATATTGGAATAAATTGCTCGTAGTTCATATCCGGTCCATTTTTTAATAATGCATTTTTTATATATTAAACCTTGCCGTTTGTAATTTGTTCTGATATAGGGTTTCGTCATTTTAACATGATGCAAATGGTACGATGATGATTCTGTTTCGGCGGGCGTAACATATAGCTTTCTTTTGTAATTGAACTGCAATAATTTAAACTAATATATTTTCTTTGCTTTTAAGATATTGCATTTATAAAAGAGTAATGGAGTGCTTGGTTCGCTAAAGTTAAATCTATATCTTTTTTTAGTATGCGTCCCTCTCGAGTCTTTGTGCGGAAAAAGCTGACGCTCCGGATTTCTTAGAGTGTGCAGTCATGGCCCATCCTATGAACTGCTTTTTGAAGAATTACATTCTTCTACAAGTGTTAACCAAAGCATCGATGACACGAAGATATATTGTAACACAATATTTCGAGAATCAAACTATTATCGATGTGCACTCTTCATTTCTGCGCAATCGTTTATTTTTTTTTTTTTGAGTCCCTGGTTTTTCAATTGAGGACATCAGCGGATTGATAGTAAATATGACCTCTTAAGCTTGAACAATAGACAATCGCCGGTTTGGCGGCCGTTTAGTTCGCGCTTTACAACATTTTGTCGTTAAATGCCGTGGTGATAAAAGCGGAACCCGTTTTGTTTGTCTGCTATAGCTGCTGACAAGATTAGAACGACAGGGAAGAGCTTCGGTCATCCCGCCTCCAGCGCGAGCCTTCTACCTTCGGCAACTCTTTGGCGCGTGGTTATTGGTCACGTGCTGTCTCACAGGTTCATCCGCTGTGCAAAATAAACATCATTAAAGTTCGCCTTCACGAAAGTAAGCATCCTTACAGCGCAGTTTAATTATGATTTTCATTAGTTTAAATTAGAAATTATTCTACACGAAATATACGACTTTAATGTACCGCGGGATTCAAGGATCGGTTTGTAACCGTTGTCAGCCACAGAATGCCAGGTTACCAAAATGGTGGCTTCAACTGCTCCAAAGGCGATGTCGGTGTTCTCACACAAAGACCTTTACCCTCGGATCTACTTCAAGAAGCACGTCAGCGGAACTGTCCAGTATAGCCACGCCATATGGTCGAACGAGATTATGTATTCTAAATTAATTTAATGCCAATGCGTTAACGGTCCCATGGAGCGAAGCCGGCATTGTCTGTGACTGTCTGTAGCAGCGAAACGGCAGCTAAATTCCCATTAGCCAAAAGCACAGCAAAGCAGACGCTTCTTCACGGAAGCCGGCAGAAAGCTCAAGGTCAAAGCGGACGCGCCTCAGCAATAAAACACAAAGAAAAGCACAGCAACGCAGATGCATCGTCACGGAAGCCGTTATGAAGCCGGCAAGGTGCGCCGCGCCTGCGCAGCAGAGGAGCGTGATGTCCCCGCCGGAGCGTCGTGCGAAAAAGGAAGACGTGGCGCGCTGCTTCTAGGAATGCGCTGAGTGTAGGAATTATTTCGCATTCCTACTCGTAAGCTGTCTTCCCTGCCTTTAGCGTACGCTATACATTTTTCTTGGATACGCAGGCAATACCGAGAAGAAGACGTAGATAAAGTTGCTGCCAGTACGACAGGTGTTAGTGTTAGGGGGGATTAGGGTGCCTTCATGTGCGCTTTGCTTAGGGTGGTGGCATCTCGCCATTTTGTCTCATACGTTTATTTTTATTTTTTGTTCAGAAGCGCGTGAAAGAGCGTGGCCCTGCACGCGTTTGTGGCGTTGACTGTATTATGGCGACATTTTGTTTTCGTGGATTTCTTTGTATTTTCTCCGTGAGCGCGTGCTGTCGGCATCGGGTACTACAAAGGGTGGCATCACCCTAAACAGAAGGACATTGAGGCACCCTAGGGGGGTTCGGTAACCTAGTGGGCCAGCGCACACCAGCTCGGAGGACGTGGAGCGAAAGCTCGCGCTGCAGAACCCAGGTATCCTGGGCTCAATACGCACTGGCGTATGACCTGTGTCAGTACTGCGTGGTGCACGTCAAAGACCTCAGGCTAGCGGTTGTACCGCACTGGCTAAATTGCTCATCTTCAGCTGAGACACCAGACGCCCACTGAGGCAGACTAACTTTTGGCTGTGTGAACATACACTTAACAATTGGTCGGTGTAAGTGTTAGATCGGTTTACGTGAAAACGAAGCTATAAAAACGATTTTGAAAAAAAGCCCATGGTAGTGGTAAACAGAAAAGTATGCCTGACTACGACGTGTTCACACCGGGGGCTGTGAGAACCCGCACACACAACTTTCATCGAAGACAAATTTCAACGCTGAAGAAAATCTCTGCTGCCCTCGGAGTAGACGATGTGCTGCCGCCGTGCTCTGTGTGTTTCTGCTTGCCTGTTGACAAATTTTGGGCTTCGAAAAATTTAAACGGTACTGCATCCATTTTCCTAACTGTAAAAGACATACTAGAAGGTATACGACGGTTACTAAAAGCGATCACGAGGCACAGGGACAACAGCCGCAGAATTCATGAGCAAGATGAGGTATGACTCTACTCTGACTGTACAAATGACCAGGTGTTGACCGATAGCACCATAAAATCAGCAAGTCATGCGAGTCGATTTAGGTTGAGTACCAGGCTCGACGCCCCTTTGGGTGAACGGTGAAATGGTGATTGTTACTTATGCAGGCAGTGAAAGACGCTTTGTTCCGAAATGTCTGGACCACTTCAGCGGATAAAAAAATCAAGCATGCATGGGCAAATGAACTCAAACAAGTTTGAATCGTGGTTTAGCCGTCTGCTGGGCCAGATTGAGCCCAAAAGTGTTATTGTTGTGCACCATAGTGCAGCACGAGGCTGGCGTATGGTGCACTGCTGCGAACATGAACTGACGTTGGATTTCTTGAGTCATCCAACAACCTCGAGAACACCACCGAACCCACCATGGGTGAGTCGAATGAAGGTAACGGATGAACTCTCCAGCTAACGTGGAATATAATCTAATGCTTCAATTAAGGTGCAGTTACGACCACCACTCAACCATGCAGTAGTAAATCTCACCGTTATCGTCAAACCAACTCACCGAACAAATCTTACTGCTACGTAAATAAGTGGTGGGATGCCTCAGCACTGGATGTTTATATTACAAGCTGGACGACCATGTGTGAATAGAACAACTAGTGGTTATATAGAACAATAGAACAAGTGGTTATATAATATCCCAAATGTTTCGCAAATTGAATAAACTCTGAAATCAAATTCACTTCACTATGCCATCATTTCCTTTTTTCTTTCTTTTTTTTATTGCTGTAAACAACATGAATAAAACAAAGTCAGTCAAACATTTTGTCTACAAGGTTTCACCAGCTGCAAGCATTTTTGCCAAACAACTTAACTTATACATGCTTACGTCGTCGAGTTAGCGCTGATCCAAGCAATCGTGGGCAAAAAAAAAAAATGGAACTTACATGAGATGTTAGATGCAAAGAAATGTCTACACGAGAAACACTCTCAAGAAGTGTCTCCACTCAGTTATGTTCTCCTTCTCGATTAGGTTCCATTTCAATTTACAAAACAAATAGTGTCCTCTAAAAAAAATTTTAAAACAAATATTTACTTCATTTTGCGGTGTAATGTTGCAGCTTCTCAACTCTGGAGTGATGTATTGGTAGGCCTGATTTGGTGCTGGTATTAAAATGTACAACCCGCCACCGACCGTCGGAGAGTGGTGCAGTCCACGTGTCACGGCGCTCTCTCGTTGGCGAAAAGCAAAAACACGCCGCCAGCAGCCAGACTTCTTTTTTTTTCTACTTTGGTTTACGAGGTGACAGTTAGTATAGCTACCGAAAAAAGCAGCTGTCACGGCACGTCATACAAGATACAGTCTGGAAGTACTATCTGCATGAGCCGTATTTCTTTCTCGAATGAAGGTCCTGCAGCATTGGTCATGCAAACAAAGGCCTGCAGACATGTTCGTAACATTCATGTGCATAAAGCAAACGTGCTTCAAACATGCATGAAGGGAGTGCGCAGATACAGCTCTGTCATTATATCTGCATCGAACACCGTGTTCGTTTGCGCTATCTATGTGCAGTGTGACTGGAACATCATAAGGCCTACCGGACCACCACTCGGATCCGCACCCGAAACTGACTCCAGGGCAGAGCGCTCGCATTTTCTCCCCTCTTCCGCTACCCTTCGCTCGCCCGTGCACAACGGGGTCCAAGGCCTATCACGATCA